CAAAGAGTTTCACATAGCAAACTGAGAGCAGATATAATCAAAACATTAAAGTACTAAACTAACCAAAAAGTTGTTTTTCAAATGACAGAACTTGCAAATTAAATCAGATATGGCAGTCGGATAATATTATGTAATATATTATTATAAAATCATAATAATAAGGCCTACTACATTAAATAAGCCGCTGACACAGACTGTTATTTCCTAGGCCTTAACCAGCTGTTTTTTCCAAAATGCAGCTAGGCAAACAAACTGACATTGTTTCAATTTAAAAAGAAAGTCAATAATTGCCCTTTTCCTTTCCTATTTTGTGTGAGGATATCAACACGACAGCAGAAACAGTGAAGTTGGAAATGACTCGTCTTTTATATGCTTTATTTTGCACTCAACTCTTACTGGCTGCTTCACAATTAAAACCACTCAGTGTTTCACCAGTTACATTTTTGTGTTGAGCAGCAGGAGTAGAACATAATTGGTTAGCAAGACTAGTCATTTGTCTTGAAACCTTGGTGTGTGAACCCTACTTGAATAGTAAGGCTTAATCTGCCATAAACCATGAAAACTACCCAATGAAAATGTATTTCTAAATGTAAATGGTCGGACAATGAATGCTATCAAAAATGGGTTTCAAGAGCTCACTTTTTTATGTTCAACACCTTGTCTTTCCTTTTCACAGATCCGGTGGTGTTTCCCTGGCTGTCAGAGGATGTGGCCTTAACAGATTTCTTCCACCCATTATTCTCAGTGTGTGTGTGTGTGTGTGTATATGTGGACATGTCTGTGTATGGTCCGTTCAAGTTTCAAGATGCACATTCACACACTCGTACACACATGCATACTGCCAAAACTGACACAGCCTGTTTGTCGCACTCCCAACCATGACTACAAGCTCAAATGTGAAGAACTTTTTTTAGTTTTTGCTTTGTTTTATACATGTAAAAAAAAATACATCTTCTTCTTGGTTTCCACAAGATGATGGAACACCGGAGAACTTTTTGTCCTGCCACAAATTGGGACTTGACACACTGCCGAGAGGTGCTCTTGTGAGGGAGAGGAGACCTAAACAAACACAAATTGAAAGATAGATTTGTGCCTAATTGTTACATGTTTTCTATTTGACATTTAAGCAAATTGCTTTACATGTGAGGAACATTTATTGTGAGGGATTGCTTATGTGTATGAGCAATTATTTTTAATGTATGTCATTCCCAGCGTGATGGTACAGTCTTACATATGTTATGTAACCAAGCCCATAGTTGAAGTTGAATTGTCTAAATTCAGTGACTTTTCCTTGATCTTATCAGCAAATGTTTGGGGGGAAGGAAATGGAAAGGTCAACGTCTTGACAGTTCGAAAGCAGCTTAAGAAAGACGGAAAGTCTGACGGAGAGAAAGTCTCTGACTGAAGCCAGGTCTCATCCCTCGGGGCATCCGAAGCCTTGGAGTAAAAATAATCCTTCCTTTAAGGTTATGAGTTATCCAATCGGTAGAGTCTGTCAACTACAAAACTGTTCTTCCTATTCGTTGACCACAAATTCTAGTGTTACTCCGCTTATCCCTCGTCGCAGGTTCAGGTTTTTGTACTGCTTTATATACTAAAGCATACTTAGAGAAGACAAAGCACAGTTATAAGTTTAGGCTGAAAGTTAAGTGTCCACCTGTTGTGCATTCAGTCCATGAACGTCTTTTTATAAAAAGCCATTTGAGACTCCTGCTAAGTGATCAGCACCACTTAGTGCCCTTACTTACTTAAAATGGCTTATTAACAATGCCAGCAGACTTTACAGCTCAAGTCCCCGCCCCCCCCCCCCTCCCTTTAATTAATGTTCTGTAAAAGACACACAAATCTGGGTTCCTTTTGATCTCAACAATCCACACATGTTTGAAGCAGACAAGCCTCTGTTTAACGGAGGCTTCCTTTTCCTAAATGAGCATTCCCACTGAATTACAGCCCCTCACCTTCCTCCTGAGTACGTTTGTTCTCGTGTTTCTTACCGAGAGAAGTGTGACGTGTCAATTCACTTCATACATTACTCTGATATGTTTCATTTTTCAAAAATTAAATATATATAAAAATATATATTTTTTGTTAGTCTATACATTGTAGATTTTTTACATAAATGGCAATATTAGTTTGAAGTTTAGAGTGTATTGTAGATGAGCTGAAAAGGGGAACTATTTGACATAACTCAAATTTGAACGGGATGGCAGAGGTAAAAAGGGCAACAGATTATGAATGAAAAAGTGTTTGGGGTATCCTTGATTCCAGTTTAAGTTGAAAGGCGTATCATGAGCTACCCAGATGAGTTTTTTTCTTTTTTTTTTTCTTTCCATTTGGGGGCATGTGGACAGAGATTGTCCTGTTGAAGTGGTCTTACTTATCGGTGAGGCACTGAGGAATAATGTGGGAAGATTTTTGTCTCCAACAGTAATTATGCAACTGGTTTTTGAATGTAGCTACCATACAAATGTGGATCACCTTCATCGTCAAAGTTGTGTTCCTGGCTTTTGTCAGTAGGGTCAATTAGTTAATTTCTCCTTTCTATAATGTTTGCCCCCAACTAAGTGGCTCTCAGTGTGCAGATCACTTTTTAGTAACCTGCACATTAATTTTGGAGGCAGACAGGAGTATTTGGGTGTAAAAATAATGGATAAAACGGAGAACAAAACAGTGTTATTGTGACGTTATACCCATGTCATGTCATGTTGTGAATGGTTTTTACCAACATGTAATCACATATGGGAGGTAGAGCATTTTGTGTGTTTAATTTCTACAAAAAGAGATGAAGAAAAAGACCTATACAAATCAATAGTGTGGCCTTTTCATTCTCAAGACTTAAGATGACATGATGGGAGAGTGATACCTTATCAGTGCCTGAACTTGTATTTTCATTTAAGACCGTTTTATTTTGTGAACCATATCATTTCATTTATCATGGAGATTAAAGAGGTACTTGTTCATTCCCCCACCCTCCCTTCTCCTAATGCTTTTTTCAATTTTCAGGAAGAAGCTTAAATGGTATAAAGAGATTTTCTTTCAGTGTATCTAGTTAAATAAATAAATGTTACGTAGATCTTGTTTAGTTTTTATTCCCTTTTTTCTAATTATTCAACTGGATTATATTGTCCAAACTGCTGTTTTAGTTAAGGTCATGGGTCCAGGTCATGAGTTTTCTTTCTATCCGCCCTATATTGTTATATCAATTGACATTACAGGGTTCAATACATGCTGCGTTTGGCTCTGATTGTCTGCTTTTGATGCACATTGACATGTTTCAGTGTACGTGTTGCTTCAATTTCAATGTAGGGAGTGGATTTTATTTTCCTTCTTAGCTGGAACCTCTTATGACTTGGAGCATTTAACATTTCTGTACATCAGAGTGTAAGCCCTTTGCTGCAGTGACTTTCAGTATATTCAGTCTCCATTGACTATTCTCACCTCTGACCTTTCACTCTTCCAGCTCTTTGATGCCCTTGACAGTGACTTTTTGTGGGAAGTTTGAATCACTTCTTTCCAAAAAGTTGTATTTGAAGTTTTTTTTTTTTTTTTTTAATATTACAAGATCAATAATTGTACTGAATATTGCCGATTTGTTCCAAGGGGGGAATCTGAATTAATGTCATTTAGTATTCAGTGACCATCACATTAGCATTCAAGCTAAACACTCAAATTATTAGTTTGGGGGAACTTTATTTCTTAACATGAGTTTTGACATGAGACACATTTTGAAATCTGCAGAAAAGCAAGCCAACCACTGCAGGAGCACATGATGTCAACAGAAAAGTTACAATATTATGATGGAAAATGTTAAGTTGACGGGCTTGAAATTGTTTTGGTATAAGAAAGCAGTAATAAAACACTTGCTTTCAACAGTTTTGTCATATCTTTGTTGAACTTAAAAAGGGGAGACTATTGATGAATTGAGTGTAAAAAAAAAAGAAGACATTCACAGGTACAGAGCCTGACATCTTGGGGGGTGAGGACGCTGTTGACTCCTGCAGGGTCCTCAAGTGCCTCACTCAATCTCTCTTTGTTTTATATATATATATATATATATATATAAATATATATAGTTGAGAACTGTCCTGTATATAACAGTAATGTAGCAATAAATGTGCCATTTTTAATAACAGATTATACCTTTTCCAATGTCTGGCTTTTGAATATTGTATACATAAAAAGGAAAATAAAGGAAAACATTGTAATAAAGGGTTTATTGTAGTTCGGGAATGAATTTCTTCATATATTTGCCATTGTCAATAGTCTGTCAGGGATGAAGTGCACATGAGTCTCTTGATTATGCAACCGAGGCACCACAATATATTCAAGATAAACCAATTTCATAAAGTCAACTCTTTCAGAAGTGGGATATTAGTTTGAATTACACATTGCCTGCTGAGGGGCAAATTCACCAAAAATGTGTTTGTTTTTTTATGATGCTTGGCTATATGATAATATGCATACATTTCGCCCAAAACTGCACCATTAGGATACAAATGGTCCTCAATGAAAATCAGTGCTAATACACACACGCAGTTACATTGTCATTATAAATGGCATTATTGATGGCAGCAGTAAAAGCCTGCTTCAATGCAACTCATGCATTTTGGGATGCAGTAACAGGATGGAATGACAAATTAATTATCTTAGCCATACTCGACTTAAATGCATAAAAACAAGGTTATTATTGGGCTATAGTATTGCCCAATAACCTTGTTTTTCAAATTTGTTTGTATAGCCGACATCCATTTCCATCGACAAGAAAGGGAAACCTTATTAGTATGTGTGCAGTGCACTGTAATGGTAATATTATTTGTACTGTGTATTTTGTGAATCGGAGCCAAAGACAGGGGCATGCCTGATGAGTCGGGTCTCAATTCCTGGTGCAACTAGCGCTAGCAATCCATTCTTAATACCCGATAATCTTTTTTTAAAACGAGTGTGTTGTAAACAGATACCTTTGACACGATTGCCTGAAATGACCCGTAGCAGTGTCACGATGTTGCACGCAGCACGTCGGTTGTTTTTAAACAGGCATGAGAAAAGGCAGCCCAGGGTCCTTAACGGCCATCAGCGTTAAAAGGAGCAAAGAACTACAACAAACAGAAGGTCAGGATGGTGCAGAACATACTAAATAAATTCGTCGGCGCGAAGTATATCACTATTCTAAAGACGTGGTAGGTTAAATCAAACAGAGGTGGAGTGGTTTACTGGAAACAATATTTTTTTAGTTGTTTCAAATGATGTCAACGAGTCTGTGTCCTTCTGTGTGACCCGTTTGGCTAACAAGCTAACTTTAGCTTAGCCTGCTTGATTATTTCCTACTGGTTCAGCTAGCTGGCTAGTTAGCATAATGCTACTGAATAGCAAGGTTAGGAGGAGGCAAGTAACAATGTTTATATGACACTAAAGATTTGTATTGGGTATTGTGATATATTTAATGCTCAGGAAATGTAATTGCTAGCTTATCTTAAATTAAATTCTTAAATGTGGAAACATTAATGCCCTGAATATTTTAAATGCAATAACAGAACTGTTCTTATTCATTTGCTAACCTTTAGTCGTATCTCCTAATTTATTTATGATATACCTGACCAGTTTATTAATCATATAAACTTCGATTATACAAAAAAATCAAGATTTTAGTATAATGTATTAATGACATGAATATATATGTTTTTGTGTAAGGTGTATTATTATTTCTCTTGAGTGTAGTGTTGACTTACTCATAATAGTTCAAGTTAATAATACATGACAGCTGTTCGACCCAATGACCCTGCATGAATGACTCTGCAAAGTGCACATAGAGAAAAAGTGTTTTTTAAGGATTAATATTATATGTAACAAAATAATGTTTATCTCATTATCAAACCCCTATACTATCCAACAATTTTAACCTTTATTTCATTATATTTTAATTTAGCCCACGATGTACAACAAGCCAGTTCAGTTCAACCTAGAATATTTGGTTCGTCTAAACACACAATTATGACTTGTAAATATTGATAATCATACTTAACTTGTGAGAGTAGCAAGAACTGACTACATTTAATTAGGTAGGTGTGCATCCCGAAACTTGAAATAGATACAATTATATCTTTTGTAAACTATCATGCCTTCTGAATCATGAGTACAACTATCAAATTGTTCTTGACATATGTATTGCAGTCAGTGGAGTAAATGTCTCGTTTCTGAAAGCCATTGTTTTCTCCCGTCTAGGATACCGAACATGGCTGCCTGGGGAACAGTTGGTGGAGTGGCGCTCGTTTACTTCACAGACTGGCGATTAATTCTGGACTATGTGCCATACGTTAACCAGAAGTTCAAAAAGGATGAATAGAGTCCCACACAACTAAATTGTGAGTGTATTGTTAGTTTGACCCACGCTAGTGTATTAGGATATTTTCACACACTCTGTTTGCAATGTTCCTTTGGATTGCTCATTAGCTTTAACCCCACCCATGTAATCATGATAAGATGCAGGCAGGTGTAGGCCATGCCAGGTGTTAAACTGAACATTCAAATAACGCTCTTGACTCTTGAGTGTTAGTTACTGTCACCTTGCGTACACCTGGCAGTTTGTTTGAACTCTCCTCAAACATCTGCACATGCAACCCCATACTGAAGACAAAACGGTTATTATAGTACTTGTGTAGTGCTGAATAACAAGGGAAAGCCCTAGGCTGAGTAAATAAATTGCTTTACGCTTCTGTGTTATCTATAGCTTTGCAAAAGGGTCATGTTTTTTTAATTAATTTTTTTATTTGCCATTTTCAGTTAATTCACAAATTGTTATGTGTCAATCAAACTGTACTATCAATACAATGTGACTCCAAATAAATAATACAAAAAGAAAAGAAGCTTATTATGACAAACTAGAGATTTAAAATAAATATGCATTTATTTGACCTGACCCGTTTTGTTGTAATTGTTCACATTTATTTTATTTTTTTATTGGTTAGAGCAAGGGGTGTCAAACTCAAATACAGAGTGGGCCAACATTATGAAATGGGTACTAGTCGAGTGCCGGACTGGTTCAATGTTTATTGCAAAACTTATTGAAATGAACTTATTGCACATATTAAACCTGGAACTAACAAAGCTTGAATTATTGCCTATAAAAACAACATTAAATAATCAGTTGCTTTAATTTCTTATGGCTCTATCTGCAGCTTTTCCAGAGTCATTTCTTATGATTACATTTTTCCACAGGCCAACAACAGCTTCAAAAAAACAATTTCCCTCAAAGAAAAAAACAAACATGCCCTGTTGTCACAAGAGAGAAAGTGCAGAAGAAGAAAACCTCCATTGAAACTCAGTGTGCTGCTCTGATGCTAGTTCAGATACTTGGCATCTCATCTTCGGTGCAAGTTCATCAGTGTTTGGGGTCAGGCTCTGAGCTGAGGAAACCCTCAAGATTGANTGAAGGTGTGCGTGCAATATACCGGCGGGCCATATCTAAAAGTAATTAGAAATGATCCTGCGGGCCGAAATTAAATCCACCAAGGGCCTGATTTGGCCCCCGGGCCTTGAGTTTGACACATGTGGGTTAGAGGTTGAATTCTTTTTTTAATCCACCTCTATGTTTAGAATTCTCAATACTGTTATTGGCCCTTCTGAGCTTTCCTGCAGTGCTCAAGTACAGTATGTATTATTTGATGTAATAATGACAAGGCAACCTTAATCCCAGACATATCCATTCCTAAATCACACTATAGTTGATATATCTAAACTCTATTAAGATTTCTAAACCTCTTGGAGCCCTATTCACCATCACAACCAATCATTTTGCCATAATCCCCTGAACCCCTACTTGAATGTGTTTTTGTCAGAAATCCAACATGAAAGACAGGAAGATTGAGCTTCTTACACATGTAAACAGATTTTTTCATGTACATTTTGCTAACAAGTTGGATTTGTGTTTGTGCCTACAGCTACAGGACCAGATCGGGGAATGGGCACATGGATGGGTTGATAACGCAACACAAGCTTAAGAGGGATGCCCTGGCTCGAAAATCAGTCAATGAGGGCTCGCCAGTAGTTGGGACTTCAAGATGCACTCTGTATACGTGTGGGTTTCGATCCAGTTTTATTTAATGTGAATAAATCTTTTAACTTGGTCCGATTTGTCCAGTTATTCAGCAAAAAGCCAACTAATTAAATGTTTTTGCTTGAATTTACTGTTAAAATGGGTTAAAAAAATCGATTTGTTCAATGCTGAATAAAAGTGGAAATACTGTCATTTTGTTTTTCATGGGGCAGTTTTAAGACAGGCAGTTGGATCTGAAAAACCTTATATTTGCCAACTCTTGATGTTTATTTGTACATTAAAGGAATATGAAATAAAAAATATATTGAAGACAATGTTTATGCGAAGTATGTCATTGTATTTCCTTATGCATGCTGAATCACACACATCCACCGAGGTATTGTGAGCCTAGCACACTGGGAATACCTCAGGTTCGCCCAAACATTATTCTCTTTTTATCAACCAGACTGCGAAATTTGCGTGGATAATGTCTTTCATTTCTCCCATCGAAGGGGGAGGGGACTGAATGAGGAGAGAGGAGAAGGGATTTAACATAGCGAGAGGGAGAAAACGAGATAGTGTCTTCAAGATGGATAAAAACGAGTAAGTACATAATCTGAAGGGTTTTGAAACCACCAACAACTGTATTGATTGCAATTGCAGCGTTTAATGCGCCTTATGTCGTTTTCATAATGTAATTAGAAAGTATGTTTATCATCGATTAGACAGATGCACTCTGTGGTTTCGCGTTTGAAAATAACAATGCTGTGGTCTCTAGCTATGATGTCGGTCTTTTTCCTAATCATGATTAATATGCTTTATTAACTGCCTGGATATTTACAGCAAATGTTGAATTAAGCATGGAGGCGGTACACTGCGTCGACAGTGTGCTATTTCGACAAGGATTTCCACCTTAAAAAATAGATATATTGTGTCGGAATCGTTGCACAAAGACTCATTAAATGCATGATACGCTTTTTAAAATGGTGTCTGTGTATTATGGATAAGATCTACTTTGTTCATTCATAAATGCCGGCGTCAAGTCTGAATGACAACGGTGGGCATTGTCGTGTTGAAAAGGCTCTCCTATTTCACGAACATGAAACTTTCGCATTTTGTGTTACCGTGCAAAGCTACAAGTGAGGGACGACATGTTTCTACATCTTGAATATTTAATCAGTCTCCGGCGTCCATCATTGTTGTCATTGCATTTGCGTGAAATGTATTAACGGTCTATTTCGTAGCTGTAGTCTAATTTATGTTTCCCATACGTTAACATTGGAGCAGCCTTCGGCGTCAACATAGAGTAGAACACTTCCGGGAAACCTTTCAAAAGAAAAGCATAACGGTCAACATGTTTTTAGGGAACTTGTAAATGTTCAATCTTCCCATACAGCCCTCTTTTATCATATTTTATAAATACACTTTTTCAGAAAACAAAAATAATTACGATATAATAATATAGGCCTAACAATAAGACTTAGGCAACTATAATATTTGAATACATGATTTTGACAACAACATGCTTCTAATTTAGAGGCCTCATTTTTCTACCACATAAAAAAGAGTGAAACCGCAAGTTTAAACTATTAAACACAAACTTTTTGAACAACATTACGGAGAAAAACTATTTTACCATTGCTTCTTGAGTCTTTGAATGTTCTTGGCGTACACGTTTGAACAATTAATGTACTGAATGTAATGTTAGGGCATTACTGAAACACTTTGAGGCTTTTCTATTCTGGGGTCCATTAAACAGACTTTACATAGAGGCAATACAACAAAAACAAACTAACATTGTAACCATAACATTACAGAATGAAGTAGGCTAGGACCAAACTAAAACACACACACTGAGATGAACATACATAACATTACAGAATAAAACACAAATACACCTACACGCATAAAGAGTATAAGAGTATACATGGCATTACAACATACACAGGACAAAACTAGAGGCATATCACCAGCTCTTGACAATTATGATCATTAATGTAAAATAGTCACATGTCTCAAACGGTAATGGTAAAGTCGCTTTAGTAACCTCCAGTCTCTCAAACAAATTGCGATTTAAAGTTAAGTTAAATAAAGTTGAACCCGTTTATTCCGTGACAAATGTCTGCTGACTTCCTGTATCGTCCTCCCCGCGCTGTCCTATGTTTTCATTTGCGGATGTAGCGCTGGTAACCCGACTAGACAGACAGGTAGTGATGCGGTCCGAGGTCCGCGGCGGAGCGATCTGCGCAACGACAAAGACGAGATGTTGTTAGCAGGGAGATCCTATTACAGAGGACGCATGTTGTAATATGGTCGAAACAAAAGCGTAAGAAGCGGTAGGCCTTCCACAAAAATAAGCCTTAAAACCCAATCGCAGTAACTTTAAGTGGATTTATAGGCTACTTGCGTGGGAAATGGAGAAGAAAAGGTGGGATTGCACTGCTCTCCCCAAGGGCTGGAAAATGGAAGAAGTGACCAGAAAGTCGGGTTTGTCAGCTGGAAAAAGCGATGTCTATTATTTTAGGTACTAAACGAACGGGGGCTTGCAAAACTTTTAGCTGCACAGCACACAAGAGTTTGCGGAAACAAGACAGGAGTTGATAATTGGGAGGGGGGGTCTGTGTAAAGTTTGTGATGGGAAGGGGGGGGGGGGGTCTGTTTGCAGCGGGGTAAAAAGGGCACCAATGGTGAGATAAGAAGGAGTGTGCAGGCTAGTAGTAGCTGCAGCAGGCCTTATGATACATTACACTTCCTCTCAGTTAATACTCTTTATTTCCCACTGAAGTGAATCAACAACGCGAGATTTCTTTTCATTTAGCAGAGGAGAAGAGCAAGATGAGGAACAGAGGCAAGAAAGGGGGGAGGCGGGTCGGTTGTATAGTTTGTGGTAGGCTAACTGTACACTCGTACTGCTGTTTACTGTGGTGTGTGATGTAAGATTTGCATGAGTTGCTAGCACGAATCCACCCACAGTTTTGTTGGTCATTTCTCAGGATTTGTAAAGATAATGTTGCTTCCTCAAGTGGAGCTACAATGTTTTAATTTAGAAACATTAGCGACATTGTGTTCATTGGTTCTCAAAGTTATATACAATGTCGTTGAACCTATTATACTCAAATATATATGACGCATAACATGGCTTGGGGTAGAGTGTACATCAAAGATTGCATCCATTTCACAACTTAACGTGATTTGTAGTGACATTGCTAATTTGGATGTGCTCTGCTTCTGTTTGCTTCTGACTTGTTGCATGTTGTTGTTGATGTTTGTAGTTTTTCTGTCTGCTGTGTGCTTTTTAAAGTGTGACCTGTCAGTTCTCCCTGCCGTCGTCTCTGTTTGTTTTTTGATACCTTCTCGGTGTTTTTGTAAAGAGATGATTCATCTCTTTACAAAAACACCGAGAAGGTATCAAAAAACAAACAGAGACGACGGCAGGGAGAACTGACAGGTCACACTTTAAAAAGCACACAGCAGACANGCACGGATGTAGCAAATATTGTTGTTTATATATATGAATATAAAAATGTTTATTTTGTTAATATTACTGTTGAATATTATATATATTATTAAGGCATAAGTAGCTTTCAAAAATGCTAAAAATATATGTTAATTGTTCATATTATTGTTCAAAATTATATAATATTATGAAGACAGAAATCAATTTAAAAATATGTTTACTGTTGATATTACTGTTTAATATTGTGTTAAGAATGTTTATACAGAAGACGCAATGAATGTAATGAATGACAAACAAAAGATAAACACAAAAAATGTTTAGAAGAATAACTGATTATTAATTATTAATACAAATATATATTAAGAAAATGTATTAAGCTGTATGATTAATTAGTCATATTTTCCATCAGAATGTACTCAAAATTAAAAAAGAATTGCAACAGGGGGGTCCCGCCAGAGGATAATGCTATATGGGGGTCCTTGGCATGGCAAAGTTTGGGAACCCCTGAACTAGACAACAGTATAAACCGTTATTGGGTTTTATTTCATTTGAATAACGGGAAATATTCAGTGCACATTACCCAACATGACTGCCTTCGCATTAACACAAAAAAAAAGGGTATGGCAGTAGACCAATGGAAACCCAGATACAATTGAATACCTCCCCTCCTAAAACTCCAGACCTTTTTAGACCTTGAATATCAAAAAACAAGTGTAAGACTTTTAAGAATTTTTAAGGATCCGCGTCGGGGACCCTGGTGATGGCTCACCTGATGTCCTCATCAGTGACGATGAAGGCCTTGCAGAGCGGCTGTGTGGTGTTGAGCCAGACTCCAGGGTTCTTCTCCACGGCTGCAGACAGCTGGCCGGTGATGGGAGCGGCGCTGGTGTGCAGAGCGCTGGCGATGGCCGACAGGAGGGTCTTATCTGTGCAGCCTGGACCCACACCTGAGGAGCAACAGGGGGTTATCAGACACTATGCAGAGACATCAAAGCTGGATCTCTGCTCAGGATCAGTAACATGTTAAGACTGCAAAGAATAGATGTTTCTGAGGGATGGTGACATGTAGTCATTGGATGGTATGAAATATGTCACAGTTATTGTGGCCAAAGTAATGGTAATTCACGGTATTATACAGATAATCTTCTTAATAATAATAATAATAATAAATGATTTATATAGTGCTTTTCTAGACCCAAAGACGCTTAAATGGCATGACAGAAGGAAAGAATATTTGTAATTGCCTCACAGATACGAAACAGTTATATGTCATTACTGTTTTAGTGAAAATTGGAGAAAAACTAATAATTAAAAAATGTAAAGTTGCATAAAAAAAACCATGTGACTGTTCTTTCCGTTTACATTGTTTGACTTTTCTGCTATGATAGTGAGTTAGACAGCCTTTTCAAGTCATTCATGTGAGGATATTTTTGATTATCCCAATAATGGACATTCAAATTTCACAATAAACAACGTTTTTTCTCTCTGAAGAATCGATGTTTAACGTGTTTATTTTACCTTGAAGGCCTTTAGGCAGTTCCATTGTTTTCACCAGCTCCTCTGCAATGTCAAAAGCATTGAGACCGCCGAGCTTCTTCTCCCAAAACAGCTGTAAACATACAAAAAGTGATATTAGCTGCAGGCAGTTTTAACATACCATTTAAAATGTAAATATAAAACCACTTTGAGCAATGAAAAGAACAAATACACCATCAACATATTTAAACTCAAGTCTGATCCAACCAGTTTAATATTAGCACATAACCATTCAGCATTTGATAACACTGTTTGTATGGGGGATGTTAAACAGTAACAGGTGACGGCTGTTTACCTGTCGGGGCTGGTCCACAGCTTTCTGAGGGTCCGTCTTCACTTTGTTGTTTGGGTGGTTGGTAACCTTGGTAACAGGCTGCTTAAAGATGGAGGCCGTCTGTCTTACTGGGAGAGACGTGTTCAAATCAGGTTTACCCTGAAGAAAACAGAGGAAGAATGAGGCCAGGATGGATACAGGAGAATGTAAAATGATCAAAGAGACAGAACATGACATATGGTTAGGCAGTTGGTTGTCATGACATGAAGCTGATTTATTCAATTCTCTCTAGTATCATTGTCCATGTTTTACTGTATTTTTTCTGTTTTGCTTTTATTTTACATTGTTTTATTTTAACATATTATCACTGTAGATGTTTTATCTTGTCCTGTATTCATTTTAATATTGTTATGTTTTCTGTAAAGCATTTTGGGCTGCTTTGTGCATGAAAGGTATTATATTATTCTCAATCAGGGGCACTAAAAACACCATTTATAAGATGTGATGACCCTTTTTCAATGTACTTTCATAACACCCAAACAACAGAACAAGCATTGTTATTATTGTGACTAACTCCTGACTTCATAAACAAATAGATAGTCAATGGGATGAACTGTGGTAGGAATGGGCTGCCTTGCTTTATTACTGTTACAATCATTGTTATTGATCCTACGTTTTTTATATGTTTCATAATAATGCAGAATATGTTTGCCCATACCTGGGAATAATTGCAGATTTAAACAAAAACATTTTGAAAACAAACAGACTAAAACCTAACATGTGATTTTAATCTGCAATTTATTTTTATGTGACAGTATTTCGCCTGCAGTTCTCAATATATGAATGCTTTAATATTAAATAACATGTCATTTAGCTGACGCTTTTATTCAAAGACACTTACCATGAGTGCAATTAACCAAGAGGATGCAAATCGAACCATCAAGAATCCTACAAGTACTTCTTATTCTTAACTTTAAAAAAGTCAAAAGAAATTAGGACTACATCAAACTTAAAAGCTATATTAAGATTTTGTTTTTTTAATGTCAAGGGGCCGTCGAAACAGGTGGTTTTCAGTCATATTTACAGTTTGTTTTCATGCATGACACAGGGTCAAGGTCACCATCAGTTGTATATGTATTTTATTATATATGTTGCATTGTTGGAGGAGCTCAGGTCAGAAGAATTTCATTGCCATGTCTACACTGTAGCTTTGTGCATATGCAAATAAAACCTTTGAATCTTGAATCTTTGAATCTTGTGCTGCTCAAAGTTTTCTTATTTATTATATTATTTATTGTCAAACACCATCCTCTTTACATTGGCTACCAGTCAGTTTTAGAACACGATTTAAAATGTTACTGTTCACATACAAAGCCCTGAGCGGTTTAGCCCCCCCCCACCATACCTGGCAGATCTTTTAAAACCATACACACCCACACGGTCACTGAGGTCTGCTGACAGACTCCTTCTGGTCGTCCCTA